CTGGAGGAACCCAGCACACTTGGGCCCTCTGAAGTTTGTCCAGAACATTCTCCCAGAGCCCGGCAGTGGGCTGGGGGCGGGGGTCTGCCCTCTGTGGATCCGGGTGCACAGGTGGCAGCGGGAGAGGCCGGTGAGACGCCCAGGGATGCCCAGGTTAAGCCAGGGTGTGAGCAGGTGCTTGGGCTGCTTTTACCTCAGGAAGGGATGAGCCAAGAGAGCCTGAGGGCCTGTGACGACGTCTGCTCAGGTAAAGGTGGGAGCTGTCCTGTCAGTGGATTGACCTTGGAGCTGTTTTCTCATCTGTAACGTGGGGGCCAAACAGCCCTCCCAAGGAGTCAGCGCAGGGTGAATGGGATCGCGCAAACAGGGGCCAGCCTGCAGGGACTCCCCCGGCCCCAGCTCCTTGTTCCCCCACTGCTTCCTTGGGCGGTGGCTCTACAGCGCTGTGGGCCTCCAGTCTCCACCGGAGCTTGTCACCACGCCCCTTGGTGCCACCCCGGAGCCATGCCCTCCTGGCCCCACCATGGGGTCACCCTTGCTGAAACAGCTTGGGGTCCTGGCCCGCAGGAGGGTCTGGATATGGAGGGAGGATTGGCCGCCAGGAGGCACAGGGGGTTCCCTGGGGAAAATTTGGGTCGACAGGGGCACTGCATAGGCCCGTCAGGCGGGGCGGGGTCCTGAGGCTGACCTGGTGGCCCACAGTGGTGTTGGGTCTCTGGACCCCCGGTAATGACAGCAGACTGAAGCTCAGTGTAATTCTGGAAAATGGAAGGGGCCTGGAGGGGAGGTGGGGGGGTCTGGCCCTCAGGGGGAAGGGTAAGCGGACTGGCCAGGCCTGGGGTACACAGGCTCACGGACTTTGTGTTCTTGGGCGAATGCAAAGACTGACCACGAGGTGGCGCTCACCACAAGGGGATTCCGGGCCATGCACGCTTCACCCCAAATTTATAACTGGAGATTCACAAAAACAAAAATGCAAGTCAAAGGCATTTGGGAATTTCCTGGGCATTTTTGTCTTCTCTTTTCCATTATTTCCAGCTTGATCCGGACAACCTCAGCCTGCGTTATCCTAAGGTCTGGTTCGGGATGGGGGGATCACCGCCCCCACCAGGCCCCCCAATCCTCTGCCTCCCGTGCTTCCTTAAACGGGTAAGCTCCCCAGGCTGGGCACAGGATCCGAGAGGAGTCGGGTAGCCTTGGGGATGCCTTCTTATGGCTCTGTCCTCACCCCACGTTTCTAGGGGGAGGAGTTTGTCTTTAGGCACAAACCGGCCTGTTTCCACGCACTAAGCTGCTTCTTCCTCCTCCACCAGGGTCCGGCCTCCCCCTTCTCCCCAAGCCCGTGAAGTCCTCCTCGCTCTCACCCTGCCCCAAACCCAGTCACCCCAGAGCAAGCAGGAGGGCAGGGCAAGGGACGACCCCGCCAGATGTCCCCAGAGGGGCCTTCAGCCGGGAGACGAGCCGCTCCGTGTCCTTGAGGAAGGTTACATGACATCCGTGCCCACACTGCCTGCCTGTCACGGGGGGTGGCTCGTTCGTGGGGTGGGGGCTTTCGGTGCGGGGGCCTTTCAGGGGGGATTCACAGCCGGCAGGGGGCTTTCACAATGGGGGCGAGGGGTGCACCCCGGCTTCCTGGTCCCTCGGGGGGAGGCCACCTGCAGCCTCGGCGCAGGACCTGCTCTGGCTGCCCTTGTGCAGCTGAAGACCTGCCACGTCTCTCCGGGATGGGGCTGCTGGCCGGGCACCCCCAGAGTGTCCTCGGTGGGAATACCCCGGCCACCTGAGCCACTGCCCAGGGATGCAGAGCACACGGCCGACTGCAGGGGCCGCTGAAGGCGGCACCGCGGAACTTCACAGCTGTGAAACCTGCTGAAACCAGGATTTTCCTGTCGGATGCGCACGCAGTGCGGTTTCGTAGGACGTCTGCGCCCACCCGACGGCAGAGCTGGGCCTCGGACAGTGAGCTTCTCCCGGGGTTCCTGGGTTACCCTGGCAGGGGTCTCCACTGTACAGCAGCCTGGCAGACAGTAAATCCAGACTACACGGCATGTTCTAGAAACACTCCAAGGTGGTTTTCTCCACCTGCTGGGATTGCAATGACTTTCCCTTTTATGCTTGTTTTCTAAATAAATCAACTTCCTTATGACCTTGATCCTATTTTTTAAAGCCCCAGGCTGGCGGGGAGGTTCTCGTACCCTGTGGAGGTACCTGTGCTCGTCATGATGGAGGGGCTGGGCTTCTGGGGGACGGAATGGGCGTGTGCTCTTCTGACAGGGGTGGTGGCTCCTGAGCCTCTGGGTGACAGAGTGGCCCCGGCCACCCCTCTCCCGGCCACTCCTCGGCCTGACTTGGCATTTTGCTGGGTGGAATCAAAAAGCCAGAGACCCAGACTGGCCTACTTACCTGAGCTGAAGCCCCCAGGTGCCCCGGGCTCGGGTGCGCACGGCTCCCTGTTACCCCGGGACCTGTCTCCAGCTGGGGCTGTGCTCATCCCCTGCATTCCTACGTCCCTCCCTCTGCAGGCTCCAGCCCAGGAGTCTCTTCACCAAGACTCTGCGCTCTGCATTCATGCTCCCAGCAGCCATGCCCGCGGCGGCGGCCCAGACCCCACACCTGGCGGCAGGCAATGGAACGCGGCCACAACTCCCTCCCACACGCGCCCCAGCTCAGGGTCTGCAAACAGACCCTCGTCTGCTAACTGCTCTTTGGGGTGACTACATGCTCTCCCTGCCAGTGATCTGGATGTTCAGAAAATAAATTATTTCATCTCCCAAGTTTTCAGCCCCTTTCCTTTCGGATCATTGGAAGGAAAACTTGGCAAGAGGCGAGGCTTGGCAGGCCACGTCTGTTTCATTCCCTGCCATTCGGCCGCCCCCCGGGCCCAGGCTCCTGTAATGAGAGCCCCCTCCCCGTGTGACTGTGCGCGGGTGAGGCGGACACGGCGCGGCTTGACGGGAGGCCTGGCTCGCCGCGACGCTGCACAGTCCCCGAAGCTTACATAGTCCAGCCTCTGCCGTCGTTTCCGGACAAGTGAAAGTCAGGGCAGGCGGTAATGGGATCGCCCCTCACGGCCAGAGACTCGGCTGCGTGAGGCAGACAGGAGAAGGCGAGGCGAGAGGATTCTCCCAGTGACTGGTAACGCTGGAGAGCTGGCTTCTGGCCGAGCCGGGAGGGGTGACTGCAGCTCATTTCCGATCAAGGGCCAGAGCCAGATGAGTAACTGCTCGCGCTACGTGCACTTCAGCAGGACGTGCCCGCTCATCTCCAGGAGGGAGGCGACTCCGGCCACTCTCCATCACAGACGCCCTCGCCTGGAAGATGCCCCTGGCCTCCCTGCAGCCCGGGGGAGGCCCCCACGCTGGGCCCTCTGTCCTGATCTCCTCCCTCTGCTCTCTAGTCCCCACTCTCTCTTCAGGGCTTCCCACACACTCATCACCCCCAGGTTCCATCCTGCTCGGGGCTTACAGTGCCCAGTGGAGAGGTGACGGGTCCCCAAAATCTTCGGGGTAAAAGACCTAGAAGACCACAGCGCTCTGGACCCAGCATCTTCAAGGCAAGCGACTGGGGTCAGCTCCATGTTTCTCAAGTCAGCAGCGGTCGTTCCTAGTCGTGATGCGTCTTTATGCTCACAGGGTCTCAGCTTCCTTGCTCTGCGTGACCGAAGATCCTGGGAGGAGGGAGACAGAAGGGGGGCAGGAAGAGAGCCCAAGTCTTCCCCTTACACCCCCATGGAGATGGCAGCCTCAGCCTGAGCTCCTGCCCCCTAGGCTCGGCCACGGGCACTGGCACCTCCAGTTAGGCAGGAGGGAACGAGGTGCAGGTGGGGCTCAGTCCGCCCTGCACATGAGTGTGCAAAGATACAGAGCTCGTGCAGGTGGAGAGATCTACAGCTGTGCTCTCCAGCGGAAGGAAACGTGTCACGCAAGGATTTTGTGTTTTCTAGTAATGTATTAAAAAAAGAAAATGTGTAACAAGTGAAATTAATTTAAATACTTTATCTTATTTGACCCGTTGTAGCCAAAATATCATTTCATCATGTGGTTGGCGTAAACTCATTAACGAGATCTTTTGGAATTTTTATACTAAGTCAGTAAAGTCATGACTAAGACTTGACTGTATTTAAGTTTCATAAAATTGGCTGTAGAAGAGGTAGCTTCACACACCACAGACACAGATTCCAAAGACACCTCAAACTTCTGCAGTCACTGACTCGACCATCCATGGCTTGTGCCTGAACAGGCGGCTGAGTGTGTGTGCGCACACCTTTTGTGTCCAAGGACTGCCTGGGAACAGCAGCAGCAACAGCACCTGTATGTGATATCCACAAATAGGGAGCCTCAGGAGGAAGCTTTGTAGAAATGTTGCCCATGGGGCCATCTTGCCAGGAGAGGCTAGAGCTGGACAAACATCTCAAAGACTAAGAGATGCAGTTCTTTAAGCAATTTGTCCCAATACTTCAATCTCAAACTGCGTAGACCTGTCACTTTTAGCATGGGTCTGACTTACCTATAACCTCTGTAGCCACCACCTCAGGAAGAGTAATGCCCTGGGGAAGGTGGCCGTGTTTGGTCTTCAATTCCCAGGCTGGGCAAGTTGCATCCACTCCCCGTGGCCTCCTGGTCATGCAAAATCTTAATGTTCATGCCCAAATTAGGGTGGGTAAGAAAGCTTTCTGACAGACCAGGTAACACCCTTGAATAGCCTGAGCCTTTGCCCACACTCCTTCGCTTGCATGTTTGGGGTTGAAACGCTTAGGAGACATATTTAGAAGAGGTGCTTTCAGAGGGAAGTAGCCCCCTCCTGAACACTCCCTTCGCGGCTCTCTCTTCTTGGTCCAGTCCCAGCTGCTGCCCCAAAGGGTCATCCCGCAGCCCCGCGGTGAGTGTGCCTGGGCCCATCTTTCACTCAGAACTTTGGCTATTGATGATGGAAGCAGCTGGGAGTTAGCTGCTCCACTGTGATCCGGGTTCACCTGCACCATGGTGACGAGGGGCGCAAGTGTTCAGGCTGGGCAGGAGCGAGGCTCCTTTCCAAGTAACTCCCGGCCTCCTGTGTGTGCGCGCGCACGTGTGATTAGGTAGCAGGCAAAGGAGGGTTCTAGGAAGTAGGGGCTCGTAAGCTCAGCCTGCTGATAATCCAATACCCCAGGTTAGCAGCTCTGTCCTCACAATTTCCTGTCCGAGAACAGAGGGCAGCAGTTGCCATCACCCAGGACTCCCAGGAAGTGGGAAAGTGATGGTGTTTTTCTCCAGTCCCTTTCTGGCTGATCTGCCTGTTTCCACCAGAGGACAGGTAGGTGGGAGGGGCCCTATCAAAGCTGGCTCCTCCACATCCTTCAAAACCGACGCCTCACACTGCTCGTTCTGATTGAATTTTGAGGCCAAGCGTATTTCTGCCCCTAATTGGTTTCAGACTTCCATTAGGGCCATGGCTCATTATCGAGAATTCTGAGGGCAGAGCCTGTCCCAACCCTCGTCCCGGGCTTCCCCGTCCAACATCTGCGGGCATCCCTCTGCCCTGACCTCGCCCATAAAGGATGTTGAAGACTCCGGCGCATTAACCCTTTAACTACTCCCCTCCCCGGTTCTCATTTTTTCTTGCAACCTTTAGCATTTTGTGATGCCCTGGCCGTCGGGGGTCTTCCTCCAGGGTCTGCATTGTACTCGGAACCTCACCTCATGGTCCTGCGTGGGCTCGGGCGGGGCTGCTAGATGTACGACTAGACAGTCAGTCAAATTCGAATGTCAGATAAGCAGTGAATAAGTTTTTGTATAACTCTGTGCCGTACATTGCAGGAGGCATAACTGTACGAAAAGGAAGTATTTGTTGCTCACCCGAAATTCAGATTTTCCTGGGCGTCTGGGTTTCATCTGGCGCCTGCACTCTTCCACCACGCCTATGCTTGCCCTGCTCACGGAGGACCCATCTCTCCGCTCCTGTTCTTCCAGGACCCAGGTCATTTTGCTAAACTTGGGGGGCCGCAGGACAGGTGGGGCCAGGTTACATCTCCCCTCTGTTCTTTTGATGGCATCTCTGGGCACGGCCGGCTGGTCTGGCTGCCACAGTAGCAGGGGCCCCCGAGGTGGCCGGATCCCAAGCGGCATTGGGTCTGCCCAGCCCAGCTGCTGTTGGTCTTGCTAAGCAACCCGGCGTCTGGCAGCCCTGTGCAGCTTCTCTGCATTCCTGCGCTCCTTTCTGTCTCTTCCTGAGCTCATATCACCCCCTCAAGCCCATTCGCTGGGCTGTCTGCCCCCCAAATCCCGGTCGAAATGTCCCACCAAAACAAACGCTGCCGTCTCCCTCCCCTGCTGTCCCCAGATCGGCCCCTTCCTGCTACGAATGATGACGGGACACCCCATCTCTCCAAGGAAACCTCTCAGGGCTCCCAGGGCCAGCCCTGGCAGGCCCCTCACACGCTGGCTGGGTGTGAGTCGGCTGGTGCTGAATAATATTCCATAACAAATACCGAGCAATCACTGGATCTTTTATGATCCTGAGGATGTCTACGCATCTTTCCAGATCTCCGTGGTTCTCTATTCTTGCTATCCTCGAACAGGAAACATGTGTGCCCACAGACATAAGCTGCAAACACACCCCCCCCCTCCTCCCTGAACAATAATTTATGTGCATGGTTAAGTCTAAATGGATATTTACAAAAAAGAAAAATAAACCTTTCCATAGAAAAATATTTTGTAATGATGCATTTGTAGTTAGGGCTCTGCTGACACTTGTAGAATATCCCTAATCATCGAGGTCAAATACTTCTCCAGAGCTATATTTACTTGGATTTTTCCATCTTAGAAGAGAATCTTTTTTCCCCCAGGAAGATAAGTTTTCTAAATATGCAGACATAAGCAAAGGACCGTGAGCCCCAAAGGCAAATTTAAATCTCTAATCTTGAGCAGATACAACTAATGGCCTAAATGATAGGTATTTTGAATTACAAAATAATTCAAACAGAAAAAACAGTTAATTAATAAAAATCCTTTTAGCTAGCCATCAGATTTAAGTAATACTAATATATTAACATTTTCAGATATCTGTTTCATATTCATGTCCTTTTTTAAAAAATAGGATATTACAGGTAAATTTCAAGTCCCCCTTTTTATTGCTTCTTGGTTCTAGCTATACATTTATACTTTTAGTAACCTAAACCAACATATAACCAACTTTGTATATTTTTAAATGGTTTCAGATACAATATGTATTATACAAATTTGATTTTTTTTTTACTTAATGGTACATTTCAAGATTGATGTTAATATGTATAAACATATTCACGCAGTTCATGTTTAGAAGCTGCAATATTCCTTTCTGTCAAATGAGGAACTTGCTCAAACAGCCATCGTGGCACCGTGGGATTAGGATTTACCCTTCTTCCTAAAACAGCCAAAAAGCAGACAAAATGCTTAAAATTATGGTTTTCGAGACACCTGATGTCAGGCCATGAAGGACCGGGATCCTGTGAAACATGGATTGTCATTACACATGCATTTAAGGAAACCTTTCCGTTCTGGAAAAGAGCCACTAAAGGTACCAGTGCCTGCTGCTAAGGAGTCTGAGGGCAGTGCCTGCTTCCACCAGCCAGGTCGGAGGGCTTCCTCCCTCACTGGTCATCTAGCTGGAAAATGCAAATGACCTCACCTTAACTGGTGGGTAGTAATTAGCACTACATTGAGCACCGTAATGTCAACAACCCAAAGTGAAACATACACGCACAGAAAAATACTTTAAAAAATGAGCAGGGCAGAAGCAATGGAACAGCATAAAAAAGAACAGATATAAAAGAAGACAAGATTTCATTTACAAGAGTATTTAAAGCAGGGCATTGGTCCCACCGAGATTAATACAATGTAATTGGAATCTTCAAAGTGTTGGGAGGAAAACTAGTTGTATGAATAAATGTCCGATTACTTTTATGAGAAATGTGTAGTCATGTAACACAAATTTGGAAACTGGAAATTTCCAAAAAAATTTCCCTCAAATGTGAAAAAAATGATGAAGCCACAGACCCAAGAGACTCAGAGAACCCCAAGAACCAGAAACATACAGAAAAGCATCAAGACACATAACAGTTGCTCAAAAGTCAATGATAAGGATAAATCTGAGAGGCAGCCGGACAAAATTGCCGAGAGGAACAGAAACGTGGAGGAGAGGAGGGACGTGACTTTCTCATACGAAACTGTCAGCGAGAAGACCTTGGAGCAACGTATTTGATTTTCTGAAAGAAAAAATAATCACCAGCACTAAATTTTTTACCCAGTGAAATTATCTTTCAAAAAAAACAAAGGGGAAATATGACAAGCTCTCAAATAACAGCGCTTCATTCAACATCGCTTGAGTGGTTATAATCTTGAAGAGAAAACACAGTGGACTCCGGGCTGGTCACGGGCCGTGGGGGTGGGCCGGTGCGCCTCGTCTGCTGGGGTTTCTCTGGGACTCTGGTTTCCTCCCACATCCCAAAGACGTGCATGTGAGGGTCACTGCTGGGTCTCAATGGAGTGTGTGTTCACATGCACGTGTGTGCCTGTGTGTGCACACCTGGCTGTGTCTCATTCAGGGCTGGATCCTTTTGGAGCGTCTGGGGTGAGCTCTGGCCAGCCGTGACCCTGACCTGGGATAAGCGTGTTGGAAAATGAAAGAAAACGTGCAATTTATTATTTTATATTACAAGCATCTGGGTCTCTATGCAGAAGTTTGGTGATTTTTTTTTTTAATGACCAGAAATACACCGTAGGAAATGACTCTTGATTACATCCATTATTGTACGGTCAAGGTGGTTTCATTGCACATTTTGCTTGAAGTTACAGTTTACAAGAACTGATCGGCAACATCACGCTGGGATTTAGTGTCATGACTGTTTCACATAGAAAAGCCATTCCATCAAGTGAAGATGCCAGAATTTGCTGGTCTACTTCTCTACCGCTAGGCATCCAGGCGGTTTCCCTCTCCTGGCTTCTTGTGCGACACTGTCACGTGCGATGTGATTTTCACTGAGCAGGGACTGGCTGGGTCACGGGCCCATGAGCCTTCAGTGCTGCTTGTGTCGCCATGGTGCTACAGCACTGGTGTTTTCACATCTTCATTTTTACTTTCTACGGAATCTGGATGTTTTGTTTTGTGGCATTGGTCCATTTGTGTTTCTTGGTCCTAGTGGAATGTTGAAATTACACAGCTCTGTGTTAAATTTTAGTATCTGTTGGACAAGGTTCTGCACTAGTTTAGCACTGCCGTAATCGAGTTTCACAAAGTGAGTCTTGAAACAGCAGAGTTTTACTTTCTCACAGTTCTGGAGGCTTAAAGTCTGAGATCAAGGTGCGAGCAGGGTTGGCTCCCTCTGAGAGGGGCTGAGAGGGGGAATCTGCTGGAGGCATCCCGCCTTGGGCCCCTGCGCAACCCGCTGGCCCTGCTGTCTCTGTCCAAATGCCTGTCTCGTGTGGACACCAAGCAAGCATGGATTCGGGGCCACCTTAGTGGCCTCATTTTCAGTTAATTATCTCTGTAAGCCCCTGCCTCCAAATATAGTCACATTCTGAGGTACTGGAGCTTGGGACTCCACCATGGGAATTTCGAGGGGAACAAATTCAGCCTTGTAGTATAAGTTCTGACAGTTAGGTTTTCTCTTTTGTAATGCAAATACCTGACTTGAGCTTTGATTTCATACACGTGCACTTCAAATACACATCGCTTCAAAGAGGGCTGTCTCGGACGAGCACCTGCCAGCCACAGGGCCGGCGAAGAGCCGGGTCTCCTTCCCGCACCCGCTTCTTCATTTTAGAGATTTTGGTTTGTTTCAATAGCTGCCCATTTGGGCCACTTTTCCCTCCACTTCCCATGTTCTAAATTCTCATTTTTATATTTTAAATTCGCCGATTAAAAGTGATCCCTTAGGCCCTACCCTCGACCCCAATGAAAGCAGAACCCCAAGCCCACGAGCTCTCTCTGTGTCTCTGCTAGTGACCTCACCGTGTGGGCCGGGTGCTGTGTAACATCCAGGCCTTTTGGGTGAGAGACCTTTGCCTTTTTCAAATGGTTTCCTGATGGTTATTGCTGAAGAGCATCTTGTCATCAGAATGGCCAGGAAGGCTGTGGACTCAGGCACTGGTTATCGGCCAGCCAAGGTGGCACAGAACAGCTCCACGCCACCTTCTTCCTAGTTCTTCAGCCAACAGAATTCTGGGGCCAGTTCCTTGCCTTCGAGGATGCAAAGTCAGGGGACTTCCACCAGCGTCACGCCACCAACTGTGGGAGAAACGACTTATTTGTGGTGTTGAAACTTCCCCGTCACAAGC